TATATTATTATATATTATTATATATTATTATATTGTATATTATATTATCATCAAACTCGCGCACCTTTGTCTTCAGCTGCAGGCTCTTCTTCTTCCAAGACGTCTGCCTAGCACATTCAACTTCAAGCCTTCTGCTGGCCCTAAACCCTAAACTAAACCCTAAACCCTAAACCCTAAACCCTAAGCCCGGTTTCGTCGATTTTCGTTGCAACCTAACTCGCAAATGCCGCGCCTCCGGCGCAGGCTGCTGTGACGTCGCCGAGTTTGGACGCGACTTCTTCGCCTTGCCCTGAACACGGGCGGCCGGCGATCGACCAGACTCAGAATCTCCAGATGCTTCTCGCTTTCGAGTCCGAGCCTCACTGCTGACAGGAGGTGGTACCAGGGCAGTGCCGGAAGTCGAAGGCTTGGGAGCCTTCCACGGGCGACGGAGACAAGCAATGAAGTGGGACACCAGATCATGTCAGAAACGGCAGCGGCAAGGACTGCATGGTCTCCGCACCTCCTCCTCCTGCTCTTCCACCTCTTGCTCTTCGGGCTCCGGTGGTGGGGGTTCCCACGGTACCTTGCCAAGGCTGACATGTCACGTTGAATGAAGGCCGCCAGCAGGGCCAAGTAGGACAGGACACGACCGACACAACTGCCATCTACTTCATCGTTTGGTCGGCGTCGAGAAACTACAGCAGCTGCAACAAGGCCTGAAACCCCCCGAAAACGCACAGCCCTGCAAAACGAGTCCATCCTAAAGACCTGGAGTTTGCAAGACTACTCGTGAATCCCACCTCCATGAGAGGGCTGGGTTCTAGGCCTCAGAAGGATTCTGTCTAAGGGTATGGGCTCTTCGCGTCGCAAGCAAGAGGGCCTGAAAGGCTGGCACGGTCGGGGTGAACGTTATAGATGTCGGCACGGATTGGTCGTTTGTGCATTCGGTCGAATTGGACTGCATTGTGGGTCCCACTGTCGCTGTATGTGAAAGACTAAGGGCCTAAGGGCCCTGCTGGTAAAGGATGGGGGCGGAAGAATGATTAGCTCTTGCTCTTTGCAGGCACTTATGCCTGAAAATGCCTCTGCTCGCAGTTACAAGAAGCATCAGCCACAGCAACTGCGCCAGACCCTGAGCCCAAGACTTGCACAAAAGTTAAGCATGGGGCGGATGTTCATCGTAAAGACGTCTGCCATTTCGGCCAAAACAGCCTCGCGATGCAAGTGATAGAGGCATGACAACTTCATCCTGCCACGACAGCAGATGCCTCCGCCACAGTAACAGGTGCCGGCTCGTAAGGCAGGTTGAACCTATGGCGCTGCATGCCGCGGCAGTTTACACAGGACACGGACCGATGGGCTGCGACCGTCATGACATCGCATCATGGAGGAGTTTCACGAGCTCCCGGCTGCTTCGCGACCGTCTCTATCAACGTCTTTTGTGTCACCTCACCTCCTGAGCGCTGGGACAGAGTAGCACTTTAAACCCTCCGCCCAATCGACGTCCGGCTATACAGGACTACACACTTTGACCGTGCTGTGCTTGCTGTATACTTGGCTGTTCCCGGCATCATGGGGCAAAGGTACAGAGGGGTGCAAGACTTTTCGCCGAGATTCAGTCTTGCAGTAGTTTGTATCGGAAATTGGCGCACTAGAAAAGAACACTTGCACACGCCTGAACACTTGAAACGTACCGGAGAACTCAAGGAGCATCGCGTGAGTCAAAGAAGCCTTTTACCCCAGCATCTCTTGACGTCACTCTTCTTCTGGAATTCTGTCGAGCTGCTGTCCACTGCCAGGTGGTAGTCAAGCTCTGGCCCCACCTGCTCAAGCCGTCATTATCCTAGCAACCCTGCCAAATAGAAAGCCATGGTAACGAGCCATAGCAAACAAAGACTTCGCTCTGCATGCTGCAGACAATATCTTGTACAATGTACAACAATAGCAAGCATGACCGCTACAATATGACAAGGCCTTGGTTCGATGAAGGAAAAGGATGGAGGTGATCATCTTTGCAGACATACACAACCGGAAATCACGGCAGGTGCTTTCCATACATGGCATGAGTCTTGCCAGTGCGAACTCCAGCGCAGAGGAAGGCGGGCTACTTGACGACCGCAGCCTCCATGCAAGGGATGTTTTTTTGGGGGGGGGCCAGACCTTCTCGGCCTACGCAAATATGGTCGGGCCCCCCAAGGAGACGAAACATCAGCCGGGCGAAGATATTTTCACTTCTCCGGGTCATAGGAATACAAAGGAGCTGAACAAAAAAGGTGCCGACACTGCGCAGGTCCTTAGATCACGTGGCCGGCCAAAGGGCTTCTCAGTTTGAGCCGCGGTTCAAATCTGGAGGCCTCCTGCCCAAGAAATCACCTGGACGAGTGTGAACAAGGAGGCAGTTGAGGCCCAAGCGCCACTGATGTCGAAACCCTCGTTGGAATCTCTTGTTGTGGCCGTGGCCGTGGCCGTAGCCGTGGCCGTGGCCGTGGCCGTAGCCGTGGCCGTAGTCGTAGCCGTGGCCGTGACCGTGGTGGCCGTGGCCGTAGCCGTGGCCGTAGTCGTAGCCGTGGCCGTGACCGTGGTGGCCGTGACCGTGGTGGCCGTGGTGGTGGTGTCCGTGGCCGTGGCCGTGGACGTGGCCGAGGTGGTGGTGGCCGTCGGTGGGCACACTGTTGCAGCATCACTCATCGTGAAGCTAGTGGCGGGCGAAGTGCAACTCACATAGTTCCCAAGGGAATTGACTAACCAGTTGTTTGTCAGATCAGCAATTGCCGCTTTCACGTCTGCCACAGTGCCACTGGTCACGCCCTGATAGCACATGCTGACCACACTTGCCTTTGTGATGGCATCGGCAGAGTTCGCTGTGAGGCCAGCAGGCAAGGCAGTCTGGGCCCCGGCGACGTAGCCCCAAGTATCTGCTTCGGTGCTAGCGGCGCAAAGAGGGGTGTCGTCTGCGCTCACGGCAATCAACGTGTCACCCCCGTTCGAGAGTTGTTCACCTCCATTAGGCCATGCGAAAGCATTGCCAGAGGTCTGACCCTGTACTCCACCAAGGGTTACTCCCGGCAACTGGCACGAGGGAGCTGTGTAAATCAAATCGTTGTCGCGGCTTGCCTCGACCCAATTGCCGGAGCCATCGACCATCCGAAACGTCACTCTGATTGTCTCACCGGCACTCATCGGCTCCAACAGCACAAGCTTGAAGTTGTCTGGGCCCTGTCCGTCGAACTCAATGAAAGCACAGCTGCCAGGACCAAGAGCAGCAAGGCCGACACGTGCCAAGCCGAGAACAAGCGCCAGACCGCGAAGCGCCATACTGCTGAAATCAGTCTGAGCAAAACTTCGCACTCATGAAAACTCGAATATGGGATCAGCGTAACTAAGCGAGAGCTGAGCTCACTTTGGATTGCACTCGGACAAAGGCTGGATGCTAGGAAATCTGGCCACAGCTAGAGTGGAAAGCTCACATCAGGTCTTCTCAGCTTCGTGCTTGTATGATGTGCCGCGTCAGACGAGCGACATCCCGAGCGTGGACCATCCTTATCAGAGCCGCATGGCATGTCACGCTGAAGCTGGACACACACAAAGGCGCGTAGATTGGAACAAGAGAGACCGTGAGTAGCGCTGTGCTGAGACCCCAGCGGGATGTAATTCTTGCCCTCGCCAATGACACGAAGGGTAGACCGAGTCCTGGGGTCCCAGGAAGGGCACAGCAAGCTTGTCCGGGAGGACCGGCGGGCACTAAGCGCGGCACTGCCAGGCAGCTTTGAAGAGAGCGAGGAAGGCATCCTCCCCAGGAATTCGTGCAGGCTACCGGATTTACGAGGTTTCGCTTACAGGAAGACTCCCCAATACACAGGAGGCATAAGTACATAACTTAAGTCCTCACCATTGCCGTAGGGTATCCCAGCACATACCTCGGAAGGCATGAGACTCTTCAGGAGCCGATTCTTAGCCAAAACTCGGCGGCTCAACGACCAGCAAGACTGGCTGGATGTGCAGTTCTCCGGGCATAGGTCTATAAAGTTTGGCCCTAGCATCAAGGCTGTCTCCATGCCCGCTCCATGTTGTAGTATGTGCCTCTGCACTCAGAGCCCAAACCTTGATCAACCCAGAGCGAGGCTCTCTGAATGTTGGAGAATCATGCTCCGAAAGATGGCGACTTTTGCACTAGTCACATCACCGAACTCGCAAGTTAGCTCTGTGTAACAAGGCCTGAAATTCACAATCCGTCACTCAGGACAGCAACAAGGACGACGAAGACGACGAGACTCCGGCATTGCCGTTGCTCTTCGGTGTACAACTGTGCAAACATGTCGTGGCGTTGGTGCATACTCTTGCCGGCACATTTGCGCCCTTTCTTGCTGTACACAGTAAGCAAGGAGGAACTCGAAACCTGTCCACTTGGTGACTCTGAACCAAACCTTGGGATCCTTTGGCAGGGCACGACATAGGGTCGGATCATGCCGCCCTGCTTGTTCTTGAGCGCCAAGACCTGCACGATGGCTGCCAACTGAAGCATCGACAGGCCAGGCAGATGCTGGGATCAGTGTACAAAGTAGGCTCAGCCGGATGGAAAAGACCAAGCCAGATGAAGGCAAGCGGCTGCAAAGAATCTCGCTCTACGATAGGACCATTGGGCCAGGGAATACGTGCCTGAGTCTCGATGTCTTTCCAGTCCTGGAACTTGGGTGTTGGAACGCGACGGATGTAATCCTGGCCCGAGACAACACCCCATCCAGACCAGACCCTCGGCAGTGTACCAGCAACGGCAGAATTCCTGGACCTGAAGCCACAACAGCATCCAATGCTCGAGTGATGTGAACTCGGCCGTGGCGGTCTCACCCAATGTGCAGTTCATGGAATGTAGAACACTTTTCCACAGTGACATTCACTCCCTTCTCATCCCTTGTGGTTGTGTTGCTACTTCGAGCAGCTCAAAGCATTCCAGCAGGGCCTCACAACGTAGCGCAACAGGGCGTGTCTCTGGCTCCGGTGGAGGCGGCACCTACGTGTCAGGAAGAATCTGCGAAGGAAACCTGCTCCCCGGAAGACTTGCGAAAACCTATGTTCGTTTGCAACATGTCTCCGAGTTGCTCACAATCGCAAGCCCAAAAACTCCGACATGCCGCCCGCTGCAGAGAAAGCATCCTAAGGCAGACACTTCCACCGGAATCTCGGGCTGACCTGCAGTGGATGACTCTGCCTACAGCCCCTGGCTCCCGAAAAAACTGTACCTCTGGCACACTTGGTACCCTTTAGTTTCAGCTTCGAATCGGCGGGCAATTGACTGTCACAGTGCAATCGTAATGCCAGAACAATGGTTGCGGTGTGAGTAAGAACGATGACGGCAAGTGTCATGCTGATGATGCCGCGGCGACGAAGATCAGAATGAGGATGAGCATGAAGGGCAATAACCCTGGTTATCAAACTTTCTCTGGTAATTGCTGCTCGACACTGGGCCTTCCTCCCCTTCAGCCGGTTCCGCCTGAAACAATGAGCAACGCGAATCAAAAGGCACTCCCAAAGCACGCTCACAACAACACATGCAGACATCCATACACTTGCACAATTCCTTTTCACTGGGCCCAAGTGCGCTGCGTGATGTACATGTGCATGCATGGTTGAAAGCCCTTAGAGGGTTCATGAACGTGGCAGAAAGTTCACTCCGCTCACGCTCTGGGTTATGGAGAGCATCGGGCGCAGTCTTGGCAAGCCTTAAAAGCTTTAACGTTGGAATTTCTGCAGTGGTAACAACTGCGACTGCTGTGCCAGACCCGTCCGGATGCGGTTATGTAAACATCGCGTCCATATTGTGAAGCGCTGCTCTGTGACTGGAGTCTCTGCTCCAAGCGCTCTATGGTGCAGTAAGCGTTTTCCCTCAGGTCATGAAGATGTGCAACTTCACGCTTCAACCGCTTTACTTCGGACAAAGCGGCCATCTCGTCGTCATCCTTGTCGTTCGCATGGAGCCCCAAATCATCCATTCCACGCCGATAATGACAAAGGCTGTCATTATGATCCAGTACCATCCGCCATCGTCCGATGTAGTAGCCGCCGAGGTTGTCCGTGTAGTAGTCGCCGAAGCCATTGTGATGGTCGCCGCCAGGATGCATGCCGTAGGTCTTGTGGTAGTCGTAGAGCACGCGAAGGCCGTACCCAAAGTCGTCACCTGCTTGATGATCTCTTTGTCGGTCAGGTCCAGGTGGCGTTTTTCAACTTGTTGAAGACGTGGTAGACGACGAAGTGTCATACGATGGTCTCCTTGATTGTAGAAGTTCACCACGCCAGTAGACAACAGCTCCATGAGAGGAGGAGCTATCATACTCTTCGTGAGTCCATCCGCCGTCATGCTTTCCGTAGGTGTCAACACCAACCAACGTACTCGGCCATGTAGTCGGGCTTCGCGAAACGCCAACACATAAAGCCTCTGACCCTTGTCCTGGCTGATGCTCTTGTCGCCACTGGCGAGCTCAAAGAAGTCTCGACAGTCCGTGAAGTCATACACTGGAAGTTGTCGTAGACCAGTTTCTTGAGCTTGTAGTAGAAGAGGCACCGTAGGTCTCTTGTCCATGTACAGCAACTCAGCCAGACGCACCGTGATGAGGCTGCTTGCTTCCAGTCCGCTTATGGCTGCCAGCGTCTCGGCGTGTGAGGTGCTGTAGCTGATCCTCTTGGCCTTGGCACCGTGGCCCCAAAGAAGATGGGCCCTTCCACAGAGCATCTTCACCTCGGCGTCCGTCAACACCTTCTGGGTCTCATCGTCACGGCTTTTGAGTCGATCCTCCATCAACAGGACCAAGACACCCTCCTGAGCGTAGTGCCTGACGTTCCCGGCAGCACTCGAGTCATGTATGCACGCTAGTTTGAATGGAGGAGTCAAGCGTCTGTAGTGAAGGCCTAGACCGTGACCAATCTCCGCTTGCGCACGTTTGACAACGAGGTTGGCCTGCTTCAGATGCTCGACTTTGGCCTGCGTCACCTTGGACTGTAGAAGGCACACGTCCGCGATGAGGTCGATGCGGGTGGCGGTAAGCCACAGTAGTCCGCCGAGGATGGATCTGAAGTGTGTCACCTCCTCGGCGCTCAAGGGTTCATCATCGCGCTTGCCGGCAGGTATTGGTGCTGGCTTGAGCTTGGCGCAGAAGTCGTCTTGAGTCATCGAAAACCCGTCCTTGCTCTTGGAATAGAGCACTCCGCAATGCACGAACGGCAGTTGCTGCCGTGTGACCTTGCCGAACTTCTCGCACAGCTTGTTGTACTGCTCAAGCAGCCATTTCGCCTTACTGCCAGCGCCAACATCATCCACGTGTGTGGCGGCCAGCGCCAGGCTTTGGCCAGAAAAACAAGTTCTCATCCATGAGACTTGCGATGCCGCCGGTGGCCTCGAAGTGTTGATGAAGACAAAGTTGCCACGCCAGCGGCGCATCATTCAAACCGTACACCGGCTTCAAACAGATGAGGATGTACTCCTCGTAGCGATCCCCAGGAACCTGAAAGGAGGGATCCAGCGCAGCAAGGTGTCGCCAAACATTCAACGGCACAATCAAGGCAACCTTGCGCAGGGGAGCAGAAATCCCCTTGGAGCGAAGGAGCTCTCGGATCTGCTCGAAGGTCAAGCCCTTGAGGAAGGCTCCGGAAATGTCCCATGACTCCACATCAAAGTCCTGCGTAGCAGACGTTGACATCAGAATCCTCTGACTCAGACGAGTGGCCGTCGTAGATCTCGTGCTCAGGGCTTCCTTTTGTGAGTCAAAACAGCCACGCGCACAGAGTCGGCTTTTCACTTTCCGTGAGCCATCTGGGTTCCGTTTCCACTTTCTGACCCAGATCGCATCGACAACCACAACATCGTCCGTGAGGGCGTTCTTGTGCATCTTCTTGAAGGACTTCGTGTCAACGAACTGTTTCACCTCGGCCCGGTCGGATTCATCGACTTGTGGCCAAATGGTATGAGCCTCGGACTCGTTGATGTTGTCGGTCTCCTCGTCAACTTTGAAAGCTTGTCCCGTTGACAGGTCGGCGTAGAGGTCGCATGTCGTTTTGCCCGGCCATGTGAACAAGTGCTGGTTGTGATTCACGTAGAAAGTAGGCTTCACCTCGTCCAGGTTGTCGTGGTTGTTCCAACAAAGGCACCTGCCCATGCGGTCGTCCCAGAGAGCCATCATGCTCAGATTGTCGTAGTAAAGCCAACTCATTGGAAAGTCCAGTGGAACAACCTGACGATGTCTCATGAGAGAAGCGAGGTTCACGAGGTCGAGCTGTGCCTTGTCATAGACCTTTTCGCGGTCGATGACGTCGAGCACCGCTTCCAGCTTGCTCTTCTTGGCTTCAGGCGCAATCACGACTGTGCGGGTTTCAGGACCCTTCCGCTTGGCCGCCTCGGTCTCAGGATCCACGTCCATGTCATCTGTCGCCACCGAGATCGGCTGTTGCGTGTCGAGTGACATTGGCGACATTCCTCCACTGACTGGAGTGGTAGGCGTGCTCGCGGAAGTGTCCATTGGTTGATGTTCATCAGGCGCTCCTTCCGACGGCAAAACTTTCATGTCTCGCTGTGGCTCATACTCGACGTTCACATAGTAGTAGACATAGATGAAGGCCAATCGTTCCACCGCCTTGGCTGTCACCTTCTTGAACACAATGACCTCGTCGTTGTTGTGCTCGTAGCAGGTGAACTCATTCTCTCCAGCGGTCCACATCACAAGTACCCCGGAGGAGCCATGAGGTGGACGAAGGTTGCGCACGCCTTGTCCGAGCATAGCCCCGCCGACATTGTTGCGGGAGAAGCCTTTTCCGAGTGCGACAATCTTCGCCCAGGCTTCTTGGTAGGATAGAGAACTGGTGGAGGCACGTCTCCACAACTGCAGCTCGTCTTTTCTATCCAGCACCCAGCCAACGGTGATGATCTTGTACAGCGACATCTTCTCGACCAAGGTCTTGAGGCACTGGAACACCTCCTGCTGTTCTTGGTTGAACGAAACAACGACGCCAGCCGTGTGAGGACGTATGTGGCGTAGTCCAACAAGATAGGGACGTCCTTGATAAGAGAGGATTGCGGTCCCCTCGTCCCGATCAAGCTTCAGAAGCTCTGCTGGACCGCGCCACCCAATGTCGCCTTGTACTTCTAGATGAAAGTCCACCTTGGACGCCGGGGAGTAGCTCGCCGATGTTGAGCTGATGCGTCCTCGTTCGATTAGCCCTTGCCGTTCGGTCTTCAGCCACAGCTCTCTGCACCATTGACAACGACATCTGTCGTATCCTCAGCGCTCTCTCGAAAGGAGTGATGTCGGTCTGCAAAGCGCCCGCCGTGGCTGCCACCTGGCTGCTGTCTTCCTGATAGAGAGGTCTTGGAAGAGTGCCGAACACCGCCATGCTGGGAGTCGCGCCGCCGTAGTTGAGCGACTGGTTCTGGGCCACCGCGCTCTCCCGGGCCAGCTCATTGGGCGTCATGGCAATGCCCTGTCGATCCATCTCGGCTTCGAGCTTGGCCATGGTGAGCTCCATGAGTTGCAGGTGTCTCTCAATGAGGCCGGTCCCGGTGTGCTGTTCGGCGGCTGGTCCCGAAGTCGTTCCTTTTGGGACTCGCTCTATTGAAAAACGCTCCATCTCATGACCGGCTTCATGACTCATCAGAGAGGTCTCCTGGTCCATGACGATCTGGTGTGGCGCTCCGTAGCGGTAGATCCAGCATTCACATAGCTTCGACAGCAGCTCGGCGTGGCTGCGGCTCATGACAGCGATTGCTGCTTTGTAGCGAGTCGCCTCGCATATCACCAACAGAATCCAGGTCTCCTTGTACTAGAAGAGGTCCAATTGCAGTCGGTGGTTGAAGATGCCTGCATGGGACCTGTGGCTTGTTGGGCAACCTCACATACTTCCGGCATATTGAACATGACATCACCGCTTCCTCGGCCAATGGTAGGATGTCACTTGGAAGGCCTGCTCGAAGTAGCATGTTCTTGAAGTCGGTGATCGGGCAGTGGTAGAACCGCTCATGCAACCCAAGAAGGAGTCGCTTTGCTGTATGTGGATCGCTTTCGATGATCCCGCTCTGAAGCCTCTTGTAGACCTTCTTGAAGTCGAACAAGGGTTTGAGTGTCTTGGATTGTTCCTCGCCTTCCGGTCGAACAGCATCAAATTCTTCAGCACCGTCACCTGGTGGATCCTCGTCCGGAGGTGGTTGTGGAGGACGAGGTTCAAGTAGCCGTGGTGGCGGCGCAGATGATGAAGAAGCTGCTTCCCCATCTTTTCTCTTTTCGACCGGAACGAGAGGAGCAGCAGGACGCGCACTGGAGGGGCGTCGGCCTGAAGCGGCCGCAGGAACATCCGCACGATCAACTTCAGGATCGCCAGCACGAATCAGCACGAAAACCAAACACGGTGATGCGCCAATCAGCCTCCTCGACCGTAGCCTTGAGCTGATTCGGTGACATCATGCGCATGTCCTCGACAGCATGAACGTTCCATTTCCGAACACCGCCACGAATGAGCATGCGCAGAGACGCACAGGAAGAGCTCAAGTAGGGATCCGGAACCACGAGGTGCCATGGTCGAAGAGAACACATCACCCCGAGAACCTGCAAGTGGTCGTGAAAGACGTCCTGAAAGACGCGGAGCAGAACAGGGTCCGCCAACCAGTGGTCGTAGTCGATGCCCGTCGCCTCCTGAATTTTGCCGACGCAGGACTTGAGAAGGTTCGTCAGGGCAGACTTCAAGTACACACGGTTCTCCGGCGACAAGTGAATCGTGTCGTCGAGGACCAACTCAACACCACTGTAGTCGCCACTATCGTTCACAGGAGTAGTAGAAGCCATCGGCCCACCAGAGGTGACGAGGCCAGTGACAGGGCGCTCGGTCCGCCTTCTTGAGGATGTAGAACAAGTCCTGACTGAACTGCTGACATAGGCGACGAGGGTAGACTGCCGCCATGGTTGTGCGATTCAAGCCAGCCCACTTGCCTTGTAGAACCCCATGGCCTTGACCCTTGTGACCACCGCAACGCTTGAGTATGCCGTGCCAGCGCCGGTTGCTGCAGAAAACAGTGGACTTGCGCACCGGCTTGCCGTGTTCATCTTGAGCACCCAGCATACATTGATCAAGACGCTGTTTCTTGACGCTCTCATGGTCAAGCAGTCTGGCCATCGGGCTGTCGGCAAACATGGCTGAAGAAAGAGGCTGCTCCACGGTAAATCCGTGGCCCTTGCTGTTCTGCCACACGCACGCCTCGTAGAGGTATTCCAAAGCAGGGAGCTCAGCACTGCGATCTGCTTGTCGTTTCCCAGGATCTCGACCAGCTGTAGCGATGGACCATGGCCCGCAATTTGGTGCAGCCATCAAGTGATTCGGAGTGAAAGCTGCTTGACATTCCCGAAGTAGCTCTTGGTGAGGACCATAGCCAATGTCCCAGCCGTACCGGTAGTCCACGGGAAACCCAACGCACATATTCGCCAAGAGCAGTACCAGGCTGAGCCGTCCGGAACCAGAGAACCATTCCCAAAACTGGAAATGCAGGGGCTGCTTCCTGGATAGAGCGTTCTGCATCCACAGTTGACAGTTCCTTGGAGTAATGGGTCTCCGTCCGGTTCTCGAGTAAAACTCCTCTGATATGGCACGGTAGTAGTCCTTGGCCTTCTTGGCGCGTGCTTCATCCCAGTGGTCCGGGAAAACATCTCCAGAGTAAGCTGGAAAGTCACGCTCGTTCATGACGTGCTCTGGAGAACGTCGTGTTGCAACACTCGAGGTCGTAGTAGAGGAGGTAGTTGAGACTGGCTTCTCGATGTGGAACACCGTTCTCCCGGTCCACAACTGAATCAAGTCCCTGTTGGGTGATGACACGCATCGCCAATCATCTTCAAGAAAACGCAAACTGAACTTGTTCTGTGTCCAGATCTTGATCTGTGCTCCGTGCTCCGGATAGTTGTTCATGAGGTACCGGACAGTCTCGTGTGGCATTCGGTGTGAAGAGGATGCGCCTGGGAGTCCTGTGGTGTCGTATCAGCTTGTTGTTGATCACGTCGTGCTCCCAGTAGTCCCTTCGGATCGGCATTGGACTGTCCAAGAACGGCCTGGAAACAAACGACCCATCAGCTTGGCTAGAAACATGGTCCGTGGACTGTGGACTCGGTGTCATGCTCAACGAAGTGGACTGTGGACTCGGTGTCATGCTCTCAAAAATAAACGACCCAGATGTGGTAGAAGTCGTTCGGGAACTAGACGTCACATTGGTCTCTATGACCGAAACATCATTGGTCTCTGTGACCGGTGTCTTGTCAAACTCATTGGCGTTTGAGCTGCCATCCGCAGCTGACCCAGATGTGGTAGAAGTCGTTGGGGAACTCGAAGTCACATTGGTCTCCTTCTCAGCGCCCTTCTCATAGCGCCGTTCACGCTCTCGGGAGGAGATCAGCGGCTGCTGTAGGAAGCAGTGTCGTACTTCTGGTCGAAGATCATCCCAGCGAGCCGCAATCTCCTTAGTGTCATCCTGGGATCGGGGAACTACATCC